AAAAGAAAATTAAATTGGTGAAACTATTGAAGGTACACGGCAACAATTGAAAAATGTAAATGTCATTGGGTTTGGCCTTTGAATATTTGTAAAAAAAAAAAAAAAACGTAAATAAAATAGACAAAACAATATATATATTTTTTCCCTGTTGTACTTCACGCCCGAGTATTTTCCCCGTCTTTTGATGTTCCCCGACCATTTGTTTGTCGAAAATATAACTTTTGAACTTTATCTATTTTTTTTTATATCTACTGTTGTATGTTCTGTGGTGATGTGGTGGCAGAGACCAAACAAATCCTGGTTTACACATCATGTTTTCAGTTTCTTTGCCGTAAACAAAGTGTTTATTTTAAAAATAAATAAATTATAGAATCGAAGTAAACATTTCTTTCCAGCATATTTATTGTTATTTAATTATCATTCCCTTTTGTATATTTTTTCTGTCACTACTTTTGGATGTCTCACTACAGGTTTCGTCCACATAAGCAACGGGGCCAGCTCGATCTACAATTACCTCGAGAACGCTGGTTAGATTCCCATTCCAGAGGCAAGTTTCTGTTGTAACACCTAGTTTTAAGTCTTAATAACACGATAGAATTGTGTAATTTTTATTTAATTTTAAATCGGTCGGTTTTTTTTTTTAAGATGTGGGTTGTTATGTTGGGTTATCGGATTGTAAACGCTCGAGTGATTGTGTGATCTTGTTTCCATCATGACCATCTGTTAATTTATAAAATGACATGGAGAATAATAATCGGCATGTGCTCGTCCAGTTTTAAGTAAGCATGTTTCAAGTTTTAATATTTATAAACACCTTGTTAGTACCATGTTTGTTTCCTCTCACAATACTGTACCTCCTATAATTGGACTGTAAATATTGTAAAACTATTACTTCCCAAGGTACAGTAAATCTCTTAAGGATGTTATCGTATGGAAAGTTTATTGGTTGTCACATGTTCAACCTCGCAAGTGTACCCTTCATGACCAGCGCCAACACGTATATTAGTACTCGAGGCCTTTATGACCGCCTCAACGGGACAACTTCCACAGTAACTCGGATTCAAGAGGGCCATAAATATCCTCAGTGACTTGTATTCTGAAAAGTTCTGTGAAAATATTCGTTTTAAGATAATATTTATTCTAGATTATACATTCATTCGGGTCGTTTTTCATCCCTAGTGACCTTCACACACACACACACACACACTACTACTACTACTACTACTACTACTACTTTTTTCTTTTTTTAATGGCCTCCAGCCTCCCCCAATAGCCATATCTTCGCCACCATTTTATTACCTTAATATTAAATATCCTAATACATAACTACTACTACTACTACTACTTCACTGTCACTCGGAATCGAGTGACAGTGAAGTGAGAGCTTGGCTCTGACAAGTCGATGATCAGTGTCACAGTGGTCTGAGCCACGTATGGCACGGGTGATGAGGACATCTCGGCGATCTCTTTCTCTGATAATGATGTAGTCAATGAGATGCTATGTTTGGATCGTGGGTGTTGCCACGAACCCTTGAACTTGTCGGCCTGCCTAAACAAGGAATTGGTGATAGTGAGGCTATGTGCAGCACACTTGCTGAGGAGGAGTAGGCCGTTGGCATTGCACTTGCCTGGTCCATTTCTCTCTATGGTTCCCTGTTAAATGTTAGCATCTCTGCCAACTCTGGCATCGAAGTCGCCAAGGAGTACAGCCTTGTCTTCTCTAGGGATAGAGGTTAGCACTCGGTCAAGGTCGGCGTAAAAAGCCTCCTTGATGTCATCCTCTGCATCCAGTGTTGGGGCGTATGCTCTGACGAAAAGGGCATAACGTGAGTGATTCAGTGGGAATCGAAGCGTCACGAGGCGCTCGTTGATCCCAATAGGTATTTCAGTTAGCCTGTGTAGGATGCGTTGGCGCATGGCATGGCCAACTCCATAAATGCGGTTTCTCTCTGCAGCAGGCTTACCCTTCCAGAAGGACCCCCGTTCTGTGAGCTGGCCCTCATTTGGGAGCCGGGACTCACTGATGGATGCTATGTCGATGTTGTACCTTGCCATCTGTTTTGCCACAAGGGCAGTTCTTTTTTTGAGGACGCTCATTTGTGCCAGTATCCAGAAGGGTCCTGATATTCCATGCGGCGACCATAAGAGATTGTATGGTTTGTTTTTGTTTGGATCTGTGATTTTGACTGTGTTTTCGACCGCATAAGGATGATCTTACTAGGTGCAATTGCCCAGTCAGGTTGGGTTTTTAGGCAGGCTATGTTTAGGGCACCTTTTCTAGTCCCCTCCTCATGTGGGGTGAGCAGAGTGGCTCCTCGAAAGGGCTGCTCAGTCGCACAGACAGGACCGGATTGCATTGTTGTCTGGATCCCAGTACATAAACGACCATCTTATCTGTGCCGCCCATGAGCAGAGTTGTGACTTGAGACTCCCGGCAGTCATCTCTGCCTGTCCCCGTCGCCACTCGTCCGTCGCCATAGGACTTTTGGGGGTATAGGGGTTTTGATGATGATGAGAGATATGATGAGCTGGATGATGGCTGTGCGTGAGTTGATTTATGTGGTGAGGCAGGAGCACAGGCTGCAACCACACATCTTGGCTCTCCCTTTTCCTGATCCACTGGTGCAAGTGTTGCAACGACTGGGGAGAGGGAGATTTGCAATGGACTGCCGATAGCCTCGTTTCGCCTTTGTAGCCTGTCCATCAGGCATTGCCTTCGTCAGCCGGTGTGGTCGTTGGGTTTCCACGGTGGTCATCTCTTCCGCCTACACCGCCGTTGGGGTCTTGTTGGGGCTCTTTAAGCAAGTCTGCCTGATGCGGGGCTCCACCTCAGATTTTTTGTTCGGGGTTTACTCCCGTAGCCTTATACCTACCAAGGTTAATCAGCAAGGCAGCTGGGCAGTGGATGGTAGGAGCCAGAACGTGTCTACATGCCAGTGGGCCTATGCACCATCCCTCTGGGGCCCACTGCTACTCTGAGATCCCCTGCTGGTGTAGCCTGGGCCCACGAGGCACCCAGTTACCGTGTGTTGACACGGGGAGGCACAGCAGGAGTCTTGATGGTGAAGAGGCTGTGTACTGGCATGGAAAGACTTATGCAAGTTGCTGCCTTGTTCGCCACGAGGGCCAGCCAGCGGAGGCAACCGAAAGCGATAGGGAGCAAGCAGTGCTTGAACTTTAACACTAACATAGTGCTGCCACACTAGACGCATTTCACCACCCTGTGTGCGACACACACACACACACACACATTGTAACTGATAGGTATTTTTTACATACTTTGAGGATTAACATTTATTAATACAGTTGATTTAATAAGGAACAACCCGTAATACAACATACAGTATATAACTCTAGTTCTTATCATTAAATCTGTTTCGTTGCACTATTGTTTAGAGTGAAGTTATGAAGCATTCTATACATATGGTTAATATACCTTAGTCACATACTGCCTTATAATTTAGCAGAGCATTAATTTTCTGCAGGTAGGTGAGAAGTTTTTAAATAACTCATGTTGTGACCTTGTCTTGTCAGCTCTTGCCGCCCTGTGTTCTGGTGTTAGGACAGTCATCCAGCTGTAACATACCTGGCGGCCACCCGGTCTGTACTGAATATTATGGGCTGGCTTCTTTGGTCCGTGGTGGTGGGTATAAAACGTTAATGATGACGATGTACACACAACATATGTACTAAATCAATTACATAGACAAAAATAAACATATAATAATGATAATTTCGGTATTTGTATCAGTTACTCGTAATACAAGACAGCGTACACGGTGTAATTAGTATTATCATCAAATTTGAATATAAAGTAAACAACAAAAACAATAATTCTCCGTTCTACAGAAATATACTTTACATATTAAGAAAAATATAACATGAGCAAATACCTGTGTTTCTTTATTCACAAAATATGAATAAACAACAGCAACAAACATTGCCACACCTCCACGCGTGACCAGGAATGACTTGAGTGTGTGTGTCGGGGAGAGATCCTGACTTAGAGGTGATGCAAGGTGAAAGTGGGTGTGTTTTGGTGGTCAGGCTCTCTCCCCGACACACACACTGTATCTAGCTATCTATCTATCTATCTATCTATCTATCTATCTGTCTATCTATCTATCTGTCTATCTATCTATCTATCTATCTAGCATAATGTATTGTCTAATGGTAGACCCTGCTGCCCTATGGCATCACAAACATTTTGACCAAGTTCCAGGTTGTTGAACTGACTTTCTGCTTCATTTACACACATTGCAGGGCCTCAATTGTTTCTCTTACAACACAACACACGCACTGTCGTTTCTCACTCTTGATTTTTGTTTTTATTTTTGTAATTATTTATTTATTAATAATTTTTATTAATTATTATCATTTATTATTATTATTATTATTATTATTATTATTATTATTATTATTATTATTATTATTATATTTTCGCCCCCCCCCCAGGCCCTGATGTGGGTCAGTGACCTGTGCCCGGGTAGGCTAGTCCCCGTAAAAAAACAAAAAAAAATCTTTTTAGGAGCTAAATTACAGGTGTGTGTGTGAAAAGGGGGTGTAAAGGAGAGAAAGGTAGAGTTCTTGTAGATTGATGTAATTCTGCAGTGATCCACAAGGGGCCGAGTACCAGAAAGGACACGTGTACCAGAACTAGGTTATTACAATGGTGAGAGAGAAGAGACAGATGGTGAAATGACTTGAATAATTACGACTGAAGTTTTGCGTGATATAATTAAGATTGATTTTAATGATTGATTTAAATGCAGTGGATGGATGGAATGGAAGAGTTGATGGAAATGTGTCTTGAGAATAGATTGACAGGAGGAATTACATGGTTAAAAAAAGGTGATACATAGATATATATTAAGAAAAGGTTATATATTTAAAGGACCTATACAATACCCAAACTGTAGAATAGGTACAAGTAATGACATTCCAAATATCTAACCTAACCTAACCTAACGTAAGATATACATTTTATATCCTCAGTACCTACATAGGAAGAAAGTGAAGTGAGGAATGGGGCCTCGTGTACTAGAGTGGGAGGGGCCGGGTCCTCTCCCGCCTATTCCTGACACGAACTTCGCCGCCTACATGTTGGAGATGATGGAGGAACATGGCGACTCTGTAGCTGTGGTGAGTCACTCGTGCTCAACTTTTGTATATATTAAACTCTTCGTGGTAGAGGTGACTCTTTGTACCTGCCTTATGGATAAAATGTCATTAAGAGGTTCAGGTGAGCATATTTGATTGTGAGGGTCAGGTGAGCTTCCTTCATTAAGAGGTTCATGTGAGCTTCCTTCATTAAAAGGTTCAGGTGAGTTTTTTTTTTACTAATAGGTTGTGTTGGTGATTCAGGTAGACGCAGAGACTCACCACCAAAGGACGTTTTCTGAGCTGTGTAGTTTAGTGCCGCGAGTGTCTGCTGGTCTTGCCGCTGCCGGGGTCACACCAGGTGAGGTAGTCGCCGTCATCACCCCCAACCACGTGGACTACCCGCTGGTGTTACTCTCCATCCTACACCGAGGCGCCGTCTGTTTTGGCATTAATTCCCTTCTTACACCAAGTAAGTCACGTAGTGATAACTAGTGTGTTTTTGTAAGTCGGTCACTGGATTGTTTTGGTTCTGGAGGTGTATCAGTATTTTATATTACTTATTTATCAACTTGTTCATTCATGTACGGTATTCATTGTTATAAAGATGAGTGTCTACACCTCGTTGAGGATTTCTGGATATGTTCATAATTATCCATGGGTTGAAGTCTTGGCATATCGGGAATACTCGGCGTTCATAATTTTTTATCCATCTACATTAATTGTGAATGTAGTTGTTTTACGATGATATTAACTGATGAAAACTCACCAGAGGAAGTGAACCACGTATTGAAGATTAGTGGCGCTTGCTGGGCGGTGGTGCACGAGTCTATGGTGGCCGAGGCAGAGGCAGCCTTCTCCCTCCTGCCCTCCTCCACCATCAGGAAGATGTGGGTCCTCGGGGACGTCTCCGGTAAACCGAGTGTGGCTGATCTTATGAGTCATGATCCACTGCCGCCTTTCACCAAGGTAACTCAAACTGTTGTATACGGATCTTGTGGTCGACAATCCTTCAGAGACATGAATGTGTGCATCCTTTTTCATCTTGAATCTTGCAGTTATCCTTAACATTAGATGTGCGTTTATTCACACTTTTTATTTAATGTAGCAAATTATTAGGAGTGCGTTCAGTTATTTTAGACTTAGTTCGTCTAATGTGTGCATCTGTTGAGCCCCAGCTAGTTAGGTAATGGACATTGTTTATAGATAGCTTCATATTTTCATGTGAAGAATTTGTTTTTTTATTTTGTATGTAAAAATGCTCGTAATATACTGCGAACTCTATTCATTGTTTGCCTTTACTTCTGTCGCGTCTTTAAGGTGGTTAACACATAATACCTCCTCTGTAAGTATTGTGGACTAGCTTTCGGACTAATGCTAATATGATCAATAAAACATTATTCCTGATATATTTGTGAGGGTGAAGGAAAAGGTGAACTCTGTGGTCTTTTTGATGTTATGACAGGTTGATGGACTGAACCCAGCTAGAGATGTAGCCATCATATACAGCTCCTCGGGCACGACGGGGATGCCTAAGCCCGTCAAACTCTCTCACCGCAACCAACTAACTGTTATGGCCCTCAATAAGTAAGTCTTGAACAGCACATTTACGGTGACAAGAAAGGTCAATGTGCCTCGTCTTCTGATATATGTAATAATGGATTCTTTAGTCAAGTTTCTTGTTTTATAGATTTTGATGTTTTTTGTGTAATGACTTATGTGGATGATGATTAGATTATCTCCAGTTAACTCTAACATCATATATATGTATTTTAAAACTTTGACAATATATTCGATGAATACTCTTTTATAATTCAGCTAAATATGATAATGCACATCCCAAGCTAGTAAAGGCAACCATAAAATGATACAATATATAAAATGTAATTCTTCTTCCTCTCTGGTTATTATTGGAAGAAATGAGGGAATATACTGTACAATAAACAATGCCGCCGCCTTATGAAATGTATATTGATAATTACTCTATTAATTATCTATCTCAGGTGTATGGACAGTCTTCATCAAACAGGTATCAACCGGCGTGAGATGTACGAGGTGACGTTTATGGTGTTACCTATGTCTCATATATATGGTCAAACCAATACCATACTGACGCTACTGTTTGGTGGCACGGTAGTCGTTCTCCCCAAGTTTTCCGCAACACAATTCCTTGAGGCTCTCCAGAACTTCAGGGTATGCGTGTTTGTGTGTGTGTGTGTGTGTGTGTGTGTGTGTGTGTGTGTGTGTGTGTGTCAAGTCATTTTTCAGCATGTGGTGCGGGGTAAGCGGTTTTAAATTCATGTGTAGGTAAACAATAGAAGGAGTTTTCTTACATTACGTATTTTATTTAAAGTGTTGATATTTTTGCCATAATGTAAAAAGTGAAGCAACAGACAGTTCACATCTTTACGTAGTTTCATGAAAATCAGTCAGTAGTGTAGAGAAGGTCCCCCCCCCCCCGTCTTAAGGATCAGCTACCTGTGCCAAGGATGCTCCCAGTTGACCAAGTTGGGTCCCTAACTCTTTAGTTTGAGAAGTAAAGGCAGTGGAGTGCAGTCCGGATCACAGTGGCTCTATGTGTAATTCACTTTGCTTTATCTGAAGTACACCTGAAGGGGCATTTAGTCTACGGAATTCACTTTCGTTACCTGAATGAAAAAAATACAGATCAGCAATAACAAAGATGTAAGCTTTATATCATGAACGATATGTACAGTGTTTATATTAGATACCACAGTTTAATTCTTAATGAGTTTTAGGTCAAATAATCTTTGCTTGGCGCTTGAACTCACCAGAACAGTGAGGCTAAGTTTTGTGTTGCAGGTGACATTGATCCCCCTTGTGCCCTTCTTAATCAAGTTCCTGGTCGAGACGCCCCTCTTACACCGGTACGACCTCTCCTCCTTGAAGGTGATCAACTGCGGCGCCATGCCACTCTCCTCCGCCCTCGCCGCCTCCCTCAAGCAGAAGGTTTGGATTTATTCTTTTTAAAAACTTAAGGCTGGCTATAACTGAGCAGGTAACACTGTCTTAAATGAAACAGAGGAAATCTTACCATATACGAATTAATTGCCATTAAGCTGTTTCAATGAAAAAAATATCCCTGTTTGGCAAAAAAAAGTCAGATATCTTTTTAATGTTATGCCTTTGTTTATATATACAGTATATTGTACAGTTTCACTATATCTTCCCTCGACTTGTATTCAAGGACCATCTACTGTACATTCTTCATGGTTCGCAGGTTTTTCTACTGTCCAAAAATTAGTCAAAATGCCAAATCTATCAAAATTTATATATGTATTTTAGTTCCTGCAGTGTCTGGTGTTCTGAATAGTTTTGGTGAGTGGTCTTGAAGTTTCTCACACACACACACACACACACACACACACACACACACACACACACACACACACACACACATACCGTTACCTGGCCATCCTTCCCGAGTATCATCAAAATTATATAATTTCTTTAATTGTTCACGATGTTCAGTATTTATTTTCCATGTCCCATAATCTTTAACTTTTTGACCTACAGTACATGAACACACCATGTCACCCTCAACATGTCACCCTCACCATGTCACCCCCTCAACATGTCACCCTCAACATGTCACCCTGTCACCCTCATGTCACCCCATCATGTCACCCTCACCATGTCACCCCATCATGTCACCCTCACCATGTCACCCCATCATGTCACCCCTCATCATGTCACCCCTCAACATGTCACCCTCATCATGTCACCCCCAACATGTCACCCCAACATGTCACCCCCATCATGTCACCCTCACCATGTCACCCCTCATCATGTCACCCTCATCATGTCACCCTCACCATGTCACCCTCAACATGTCACCCCTCACCATGTCACCCTCATCATGTCACCCTCATCATGTCACCCTCACCATGTCACCCTCAATATGTCACCCCATCATGTCACCCCCATCATGTCACCCCATCATGTCATCCTCATCATGTCACCCCTCATCATGTCACACTCATCATGTCACCCCTCACCACGTCACCCCATCATGTCACCCTCAACATGTCATCCCCCATCATGTCACCCCCTCATCATGTCACCCTCACCATGTCACCCCATCATGTCACCCCATGTCACCCTCACAAACATGTCACTCACCATGTCACCCTCACCCTCATGTCACCCTCATCATGTCACCCTCAACATGTCACCCTCACCATGTCACCCCACCATGTCACCCTCATCATGTCACCCATCATGTCACCCTCATCATGTCACCCTCACCATGTCACCCTCATCATGTCACCCTCACCATGTCACCCTCACCATGTCACCCTCACCATGTCACCCTCATCATGTCACCCTCATCATGTCACCCTCATCATGTCACCCTCACCATGTCACCCTTTTCGATCATCATGTTCCATCACACTGATTAACATGTCTTACGGTATTAAGATTCTGACCTTAATGCTGAGTTTGTTCCCCCACAGTTGAGTGTACAGCTTAATGACCAATATGGGATGACAGAGGCCTCTTACGCTGTAGCGGAGAATATCGTCAGGGTGGGCTTTAAGGACAACACCGTCGGCAAGGTGCTCCCGTATTTTCAGATTAAGGTATATTAAAATTGGTCCATATAGGCTTCAGTCTCGGCGGCCTCGTGTAATGTTGGCGTTAGTCAGTTGTCTTTTCTTTACACCATCTTCCAGCTTGACTTCATGTGAGTTTTTTTGTAGGTAATTTGATTTTCAGTTATGTTATTGTAGCTTTTTTTTCCCCTCATTCAAAGTAAATTTCAAAATAAATGTAATTCCAATTTTTTTTCAGGACATAACATGTGATCTCTTCACGCACTGATATTAAAACACAACATCAATCGTTCCTTGATATAATTTTAACATGGATGTGTGGTAATGGTTCCTTCATATTATTTATTGCTTCTAGTGGACCTTTCAACATTCTCAATTAATGTTGAATAATTTCCTGCAATTGGACTATCAAATATCTCATCAAAGTGAGATAGCAGAGCATACTGTTGGTACTGTAACTTACTTTAGGTGGTGGAAACGGAGAGCGGAGAGATGCTGGGGGAGGGGCAGGAGGGGGAGGTGTGTTTCCGAGGACCTTCTACAATGCTGGGTTACGCCAACAACCCCGTCGCCACCGCCGCCACCCTGGACGCTGACGGCTGGATACACTCTGGTGACATCGGCTACTTTGATCATGATAATTACCTCTTTATCATGGACAGACTTAAAAACCTCATTAAGGTTAAAGGTTTCCAGGTAAATTATTTATGTTTTCAAAGTAAGGTTCACAGTCTTCGGAAATGATATAATCGTACATTAGGCTTTATTTTGCTTACCACAATGAACAGCGGATGCTATGTTGACTGCTTGTATATAAAGAGACCAATATTATTGTATAACGGCCATTTGACAAGACTCAGAAGTCAGAGTATGACGGTGAGAGAATATTTTGGACAGGTGTCGCCCACTGAGCTGGAATCTGTGATCATGGAGCACCCTGACGTGGCTAACGCAGCGGTGGTGGGCGTCCCGCATGACAGCCTAGGAGAAATGCCTCTGGCATTCGTGGTGGTCAAACCCGGTGCTCACATACAGGCGATCGTCCTGCAGCAGTTTGTTGATAGTAAGTTGCTCCTCCAGCTGAGCCGGTACACCAGTTTGTTGATAGTAAGTTACTCCTCCACCTGAGCCATTTCACCAGTTTGTTGATAGTAAGTTACTCCTCCACCTGAGCCATTTCACCAGTTTGTTGATAGTAAGTTACTCCTCCACCTGAGTCACTACACCAGTTTGTTGATAGTAAGTTACTCCTCCACCTGAGCCATTTCACCAGTTTGTTGATAGTAAGTTACTCCTCCACCTGAGTCACTACACCAGTTTGTTGATAGTAAGTTACTCCTCCACCTGAGTCACTACACCAGTTTGTTGATAGTAAGTTACTCCTCCACCTGAGTCACTACACCAGTTTGTTGATAGTAAGTTACTCCTCCACCTGAGCCATTTCACCAGTTTGTTGATAGTAAGTTACTCCTCCACCTGAGTCACTACACCAGTTTGTTGATAGTAAGTTACTCCTCCACCTGAGTCACTACACCAGTTTGTTGATAGTAAGTTGCTCCTCCAGCTGAGCCGGTACACCAGTTTGTTGATAGTAAGTTACTCCTCCACCTGTTATCAATCCTCTCCATTTATGTACAGCATTGCAGGTAAAGGAAAATACTTTACACAAAACTGTATCCCAAAACACATTAAAAATTGTCTAATAGGTTCATATGATTTTTTTCTAGATATCGTATATAACAATATCCTCACAGTGAGTTTCTCCTGATTATCACAGGTCGTGTGGCCTCCTTCAAGAAACTGGCAGGCGGTGTTAAGTTTGTCGACGCCATACCCATGAACCCTACTGGGAAGATCAACAGAAAACTACTAAAGGAATCTGTGTCCCTCGTTGCTAAACTGTGAGGTCCTTGAGAAACCCAGCAGAAGTAAGAAGATGAGGGAGACTACTGCTGGAATTCTTTACCCCCAGGAGAGGATCAGGGTGAGATAGCTGTTGAGAGACGATCATTATATCACAAGTAGAAGTCCCAGCGACGAATGTTTGGTTAGGTTAGAGGCTTACCGTGTTTCTCTGTCAAAAGTAGGGGTTAAATATATGAGCGTCAGAAGTATTGTCATGTTATTCACTGTACAGATACCATACATTCCAAAGGAAATTTGCAAAAAGACCCATAACTTTCGGTGATGTTTACCGAAGTATCAGAAATAGAGTAACTCAAGCAGTTAGAAATGCCAGACGTAACTATTATACAAATAAGCTCCAGTCAGCATCAGGCGACAGTAAGAAAACCCGGAATGTCATAAATTCTATTCAGAACAGGAACACTCAGCCTTCAGCCCCCCACTCAGCTTTTATGATAAATGATTCAGTTGTAACGGAACCCTTCCTCATTGCCAACAACTTCAATGAATATTTTATTAATGTTGGCAAAAATCTTGCAGAGAGCATCCCTGATCACCATAAGGAATTAAGAGCCTACCTGCAAAACAGACAGCAAAATGAGCTGTTCTTATCCCCTGTCATAGCAGATGAATTACTGGCCATCATAAAAATGTCCAAAGATGCAGCAGCAAGCGAAGAAAATATACCAATGAGCATCATTAAGAAAGTAGCCCACTTATTACTACCTGTTCTCCTACACATTTGTAACTCTTCCTTCACTTGTGGAGTCTTTCCTGATAAACTGAAAATTGCTAAAGTTCACCCGGCATATAAAAAATCTGGGGACAAAGGTCTTCAAGAATTACCGCCCCATATCAGTCCTCCCAGCCTTGAGTAAGATACTGGAAAAGCTAGCATGTAATAGACTGAATTCCTTC